AAGATGGTCCTTTGCTGGTTTAAGATGGTCCTTTGCTGGTTTATGCTGGTCCATCATAAACCAGCAAAGGACCAGCTTAAACCAGCATCCCAGCGTCAAAACATACCTAACCAGCATATGCTGGTTTTTTCAACAGGGTTGTAAATATCCTGTGCACACGCGGAGTGTCACTATATATTAAGTTTTTTTTTTTTTTTATCACTTTATTAAACCTTCAAATAACAAACAGGCATTGTCATCTATCCATTGTTAAACACATTAACAATAAATCCAAGCGGCATATATAATGAACAAAATAATATTAAACTAAATGAATAAAAATAAACATTAAATAATAGTAAAAGCAGTTTTACAGTTTTAAGGAAATCTTCGTTTTTAAAATGTTTTATGGATTGAAATAAAATTCTAAAATCATTTTCAAGGAGAAACTTTAACAAATCTACATTTGTGCATATATAAAACAATCAACATATTATTGCACAGAAATTCAATCTCTTTATTTGCACTATATAAGCAATCGTCCATATTCTGACTTGGTGAAAAGAACATTTTATCTTATAGGAACTTTCAATCTTGTGCCTGACGTTTAATTACACTTTTTAAATAGCAAATTCTGGTAATCAGAGCATATAAAGAACGTGTAAATGATGGTCATGAAATTACGTGCATGTGACGTTGCAGTTACGTTGCCAGTAAGTCATTGTTACCAATATAATACCAATAGAGTACGTATATGGGACGTGCTTGGTAATATTATGAGGTTAGGAGGACGTACTGACAACGTTGTGAGTTGGTAATTTGATGGTAATAAAATTACGGGCATGCGACGTCGTAGTTACGTTGTCAATTGGTAAGTCATGAAATTACCAAAAATTACCAATACGTTACGTAACTGTTGTCGTGTGTTAACAGGGAATGGTTCATAGACAAGCTGAAATATGTAACTAGTGTGAGAAGGCAATGATAAAGAGAGAGGTTAAAAAGAGAAGATGGAAATTAAAATATGATGAAGAGACTCAAGAAAAACTCAGAAAAGAGTTTTAAGAAAAAGACAAAATGGAATAGGAGAAAAGAGAGATTGAAAATCAGAAATGATCAGAAGAGGAAAAACAGCAAAGAACCGATTATCATCAAAAATAGAAGAAATGATAAGAGAGATTGAAAATCAGCGATCACAGTATGAAAAAAAGCAAAAGGAAAGAAGAGAAGAAGATTGAAAGAGAGAAGAGAAACACAGACAAGATCAAGAAAAGATGAAAAACGAACAAAAACAAATTATAGCAGGATTACAGGTGAATCAAGAAGAAGAAAATAAAAAGAGCTTTTGGGAGCAAAGGAGGAATAAAGAAGAAGAAGAAGAAGGAGAGAGTAATAGAGAAGAAAAATAAAAGAGGCTGAAAAGAGATTCAGGAGGAAATTAAACGACAGCAGAGAGAATGGGAGGATGAAAAGAAATGAAAGATGAGAGGAAGAAGAACGAAAGAGAACCACGAGGAACAACTGAGAGAAAAACGAACTGGAGAAAATGAGAGAAAAATTTGAAAGCGAGAGAGAGAAGAAGAATTACAGAAGATCAAAAGAGAGAGAATATGAAGAAAAGAAAACTGAAATGAAAATGCATTATGAACAACTGGAATGAGAGAGAAAAGACGAGTGGGAGAGAATGAAACGAGAAGATGAGAAGAGAAAGGAAAAAACGAAATGAAACAGAAACATGAAGAGGACATAAATGAGATGAAGAAGAAACCTGAAAGATGAAGCCAGAAAACAAGCAGATAAATTTAATGAGTCAACAGAAAGAAAAATGCAGCATGTTCTGGAGCTCACAGAGAGGATTAAAGAGCATCAAAAACAAGAGGAATTACTGGAAAAACTCTGCAAACACCTGAGAGAAAAGAAAGGAAAGGAAACAAAATAGCTACAAGAACTTGGAAAAAAAGAAATGAAAGAAAATTCTAAAGAAGTCAGGCTGTGTCATTCTGTGATTGATTTCAAAGCATAAAATCAAGATATTTTCTATAGTTATTTACCATAAACTTTTATTCCTATCATTTCTGTTTACTTAGATTCTATTTGTTCGAAATTTTCTTGCTGGAAAAAAGTGTTTAAAAAAAAAAAGTCATACAGCATGATATTCACTCTAAATTAATCAACAATATTGTAATTTTATTATTCTGATACTGCTTTTGGCATTTTCATATTGCATGAATACTTTTACAACATTTAATAAAAGCACCAAATATTGCAAAATCATTTTTCTGGATTTTTTTTCTAATTGTGTCACTTTAATGAACTCAACTCTATTTTAACATCCTTTATTTATTTGTTTGTTTATTTATTCATAAAGTTGTTATCATAATCAATTAGCGGGGAAGTTTTAGTTGCAGTTTCATCATTTCAACTCCACTAATTGCTGTGAGGAAAAATTATATCAATTGTTTGACCATAAAATAATTACTGAACATTTGGCTTAAAATTAATAATGATTTACCTTTTCAAAACACTAATATTATTTATAAAAGTTTTATGGCTTCATTAGTGGCCAACAGAAATGTTTTATCTTGTGTGTGCAGCCGAAGAAATAAAATCATACAGGTTTTGATAGAAAAGCCTTTACAGGAGCTCATTGTAAGAAACCATGCATAAAGTCATACACTCAAAAAAAGAAAAGCTGGTTCTTTAAAGGTTCTTTACATGTAGAAACAGTTCTATTTAGAACCGTATCATCTTGAAGAACCTTTCATATGCTATGATGGGCCTTTGCATTAGAGTTTAGATTTCTTTTTTCCCGTCTTTTTGTTTTTCACATCCTTAACTGTCAAAGCAACATCATTACTGGTTTTCTGGAGCTCAAGACAGACTGTCAACACACTCTCAATAGGTACATGATTTATTTCTTAATATTTCTATAAATGTTAACTTTCAAATTGTATTAATAATATAAAGATACTGATTAATGAAAATAAATATTATTAGTTATTAAAAAGGGTATTTATTACAGCAGGTCCTACATGGAACATTCAAATCACAGTTCTTTATGGAACCTTATAAAAAAAGGGCTCTGTTTGGCACCAAAAAGGTTCTGCTATTGTTACAAGGTGAGGAACCCTAATTTGGTACTGTTTACAACCATTTTTCTTAAGAGTGTATGGCTGATCAGTGTGGAGGCAGATTTCACATCTTCAACAATAAATAGCAGAATAATAGAGAGCAGGCGATCATAAAAGTACTTCGCGAGGTTACTAAAGGCCTTCTGACGCGAATCGATGTGTTTGCGTAAGAAAGAATATTGATATTACACCTTGTTTGAAAATCAATGGTATATACAGAATGATTCTTCAAATGTTACTATGTTCACAACAGATTATGTAATTGTATGTGGCATCAGTGTACATACAGAGATAATACTACTATATTGACATTACATTAGCCTTTAACAGAATACGGCGTTCTATTAAATAATTGTCATAACATTAAATCAAGCTAGGACACTTACTTGCGCTATTGTAAGTCTTTGAGCCTGCAACATGTGCACACGCTCTATGTCTTCTGTTTCCAAGCGTTTATCCGCGGCAACATTCCGACCTCTGCGTCTTGCGCCGGGTGTTGAACGTCATCTTCCACATGAAACGGAGCTAAACCATTCACGTTAAAACATACAGTACTACCAAAACACATTAGACCTGTATTACCATAGTAACACACATTGCTTTCACTTATTGATGACATCATACCCTCGGCCAGCTGGAACAGCAGATTCCGCCATAATCGTTGCCTGGGTTGCGTACGTATGTGTGGGGCAGAGCTATCAAAATAGGGGCGAGACCCTTTTGGGGTAGGGGCGTGTTTGTTTTGGTGATTTCAAATGTCAACATTGGCTACCAGAAATCACTTACCCCACCTTTAAGTGTCTTGTTTATTTAGAGTAAAGGAATTTATTTTTTTGTCCTTTGCTAGTTTTACTTGATCTTAGTGCTGCGTTCGACACTATAGATCATGACATACTCATAGATCGATTACAAAACTATACAGGTATTCAAGGGCAGGCTTTAAGATGGTTTAGATTCTACCTCTCCGATCGCTACCACCTCTCCCAAGGTTTTTTCTCCATTCTGTCACCGATGGAGTTTTGGTTCCTTGCCGCTGTCGCCTCTGGCTTGCTTATTTGGGGACACTTCATTTCCAGCGATATTGTTGACTTGATTGCAAAGATACTATTTAAACTGAACTGATGATGACATCACTGAATTCAATGATGAACTGTCTTTAACTGAAAAATGTGTTTACTATTGTCATTCTGCATTATTGACACACTATTTTCCTAATTAATGCTGTTCAGTTGCTTTGACACAATCTGTATTGTTAAAAGCGCTATATAAATAAAGGTGACTTGACTTGACTTTGTTAACTGAATTGTGGGGAAAATGGGACACAAAAGTGGTTGTTTCTGCTGTTCTCTCTCAAATAAGTGGGAACAGCTAAATCATCCACCACATTGAGTTGCGATCACTTAGACCTCACAACTGGCTCACAGGTGAGGTATATGCCAAACAATACAGCAGCATAATCATTAAAATACATTTGCCATCCTTTGAGGAACTTGAGCATTAGGGTCTTGACCCTTGCAACCCGGCTTGAGCTCAGTCCAGTAGTGGAAAGAGTACTAAGAAATTGTACTTAAGTAAAAGTATTGCTACTTAAGGAATTATTTACTTGAGTAAAAGTACTGAAATAATATGACTCAAGTAGGAGTAAAAAAGTAGTTTGCTGAAAAACTACTCAACTTACTGCGTTACAAAGTACTTCAGTATTATTTTTCTATTTTTACCCAAAATGAGACGATGTGAGCATTATGGAGCAGGGTTAACCCTAATCCTAACACTCATGTACTGTAATGTCTGTTTCACAAGTGAGAGCCAGGAAATCCCTTATATGGACAAATGCATCAGATATCACTACAGCTG